ATATATATATATATATATATATATATATATATATATGATATTTCTGTTTAATACTTTTGTAAGTTATTATTTATTGTGTGACTCTATTGAAGATCCATTAAATATAATAAAACACTTTGTTTTATGTAAGCAATTAAAAAAAAGCAAAAGAACAACTGGACTCCATGACAATTCTTCTTCACATGTGTTTGACAGAATCTTGGACTAAGGGTAGCACCATAGGCTTATGATATGAGGCTCAATACCGCTGTGTTTTATTTTCTTCCTTGGAAAACAGTAACTTTGTCAAAAACACAGATGTTTTAGAGAGAAGATCACACTTTTTATTGATACACTTGGTGTTATAGTTTCAATAAGAATGACACCTGGGCTACTTTAGATTCTGCCACACGACTAAGTTTCTTGTGAATAGAAATATCAAAACAGCTAATTTTCTTTCTTGTAAGTGAGAGTGAGATGTAGCCATATTCCAGCCACTTTACTGCCAGCGTGTAGCACCAGATAGGGAAGTGGCAGTGCTGCTATGCTCTGTTTCAAACAGTACAAAAAAAAAAAAAAAATCCCAATCTACCTGGGACTTTAGTCTGGCATCTCCTTTTAGTAGTTTTGAATACCCACGACATGCCTATTCACAAATAACGCTATATTTTGTGAAGATTTGCATAACGAAAACAATAACAAAGAAAAAAAAACAGAATGCAACAAAGCCGACTCTTTGTTAATCCACTCATAGTAAATCACAAGTTAAGTGCAACTCCGTGTAAGATAATCTATGCCAAAGAAGCTCCATACCCAAGCAAAAGGTAGGAAAAGGAGCCGAAGGAAGGCCTCTCCCAGGGCGTCATTCATGCCAAAACCGCCGCTGACCACATTGCTTTGCCATGCCCAGTTACTCACCATCCTTCCGGTGGTAGGTGATCTCCACCTTGCGCTCTTCGGAGCCAAGCACAGCCTGCGCCACCTGGTTGATCGCCTCCTTGTCGGTGAGGTCCCCATGGAGAAAGTCACAGGTACAGGGCTTCTGCATGATGTCTGGTCTTGAGAAGCCCGTCATCTCACAGAAACCATCGTTACAGTATATAATCGCACAGTTCTCCACCCTCGCATTGGCTATGACAAATTTGCGATCTGTGAAGAGGTGAGACAATAAGCTCCGTTTAACAATAATAAAGAAAACTTTATCATTTTTATCATTATTACAATAACGTTGTAATAAATAAACTATATTGGCTGTCTTTGTTATCTAAGTGCTTTTATGAAAAGGGGGAAAAAAGTGAGACATCTATTCACTTTTCTCCTTTTATCTCAGTGTTCATTGAAAGACATCCACAGAATCGCCAGGTAGCAGAATTTACGCAAAGATACTCACTCTGACCCTCGAATTTCCGGATGATTAATCCAAGGAACGTGTTTTGTGGCGCAACGTGACCTCTTCTCACAGGCATGTTTACTTACAATTCCGCGACCTCCAAAAAAAAAAAAAAAAAAAAAAAAAAAAAATCGTCTTTACAAGTAAATCCAGAAGTTGCAGATGTTGCGTCTTTGTGCTGACTCCTCTTGCATCCTCTACGTACAGACGGGGGGCGGTGAGTGATAGGTCTTTCCACTTTTTTTTTGTGGCTTTTTTCTGAATTTAACCTCCCTACTTCATCGATGAGTTCTTTATCCCGCTTGTATGCCTCTGCGTGTGAATGTCCCCTCGCCGAAACGCCGGACGGAATCCGGGAGGATAGCGTGAGTGAGATCCGGTACGCGGAGCATTTCGCTCTGAGGACGGGATGCGAGCCTGACGTCCTCCGTCGCGGTGTGTTTGGCGCTTACAGTGGACGCTGGTTAATATGCCAGGAGGAGTGACGCTGTTCCCACTGGGCTTAGGCTGCTATGCCTGGGGTACTGTTTCACAACCTGCCGCAGCTGCATATTGTTGAAGGAGAGACTTTGCGCTTAAAATAACCTTCACCACCACTTTCTTCCTACTCAGACTTGTAGTGGAGAGTGAATGTGACAGACCTCTTTCCGAGTTTGTACTTATGAAACAGAACATATTTCAGACATTAACAATTAATATTAACAAGTACTGTTGAATCATTAATGGGAACATACACCAATGAATGTGTTCCAATCAGCAGGAGCTCAGGAGTTTCCGTGGGTACTAAGCGAATCATCATGCAAAGCATCACGTTTATATATAAAAATAGTATTATTGATTAACCATAATCATATTGCCACCAGTGAGCAAAATGTAAACAATACATGAGAGGATGTGGTAAAGTGAAGGGAGTAAATAGTTATTTATGCCTTGGATATGCAGAAAGTGTCCATAAGCATGGAGAAGACCATTTATAATGGTCAGCAAGGGAAAATATGAAATAAATGTATAATTAATAATGATAACTTTTGAATTGATACGATACCTCAACTCAAAAGTTGAGGTGTATTTATTGACAACTCCTTGCATAAGTATTCACACCCCAGTTCTACCATCAAAACTGCCTTGTCTGGATGAAAAAAAAAAAAAAAATATGTGATCAATATGATTATCTATCAGATAGGCAGTTTAAAGAAAGGATTGATCAGCAAAGCAACCAAGAGGTCTATGTCAAAGGTGGGAGGAAGGGGACAGAGAGAGATTTTATGTAAAACCAGCTTTTTACATCATATTATAATGTTATTCACTCATTAAAAACACACTTGGAGTGTTTCTTTGATTGTTTCATGTTTTCTTGAGAAATCCTATCATCTCCCGTAGCAGCCATTTGGGAGTGTCTAAATGCTTGCTCTCAACAAGTGCTGCCTCTTCCACATAGCTCCTCCTGGGAGCTACAAGTCTTTAAACTGAGCTTCCGGACTCCCCCACTCAGCTCCTTTAGACTAGCAGCAGCAGGAATTAGCAAACACTTGGTGGAACTGTGCTTCTGCTGAGCTCATCATACAAACTACTTCTCAGTGCAACACTGCTAAAAATGCTTTGTAACAGCTTAATTGTGACAGTGTCACCAAGAGTAGGAGCTTAAAAGAAATTCAAATTTCAAAGCACAGTTTAGAATATGTTGGTAAAACATCTACCAGTTGTTCCCTCCACAAATATAATCATAAAGCCTTTTTTGTAGTTTTGACCAAGCTCTACAGTTTGGAGGGTCCTCAGGAAACATGCTGAAGGAAGTTACTTTCAGACGGGACTAAAATAAACTGTTTGGCAAAACAATGTGTGTGGCAGAAACCATGTGTTCTGCATGATGCTGAACAAGTGGGAAAATATTGATTGTATTTCATATTTGGTGCTCATCAGAACAACAACCCTAAAGATACAGCCAGAAGTGCAATACGATGGTTTAGGTCCAAGTGCTTAAAATGGACCAGTCAAAGTCAGACCTAAATCCAATTGAGAAACTTTGACAGGACTTGAAAATTGCTGCTCTCAGACACTCGCCACCTGCTCTGACTCACCTCGAGCTGTTTTCCAAAGGAGAATTATCAACAACTTTACTCTATTAGTGAACAGAAATATAAGAAACAGATCCCCTAAAAGACTTAAATCTGTAACTGCAGTCAAGGGAAGATCTACAAAGTTACTCAGTGGTGGGTAATACAAATACATTCCACATTTTTGAAATTACATTTGCATTAAATGATGAAAACCATGATTTTTTTCCCCCCAAATACAAATTCCATTGTGTTAGTGTTACTTTATCACATAAATAAATAAAAAAAAAATGTATTGATGTTTTAACATGACTAAATGTGAAATAGTTGTAAGGTGTGAATACCTTAGAAAACATTGTAAAAGTGCAGGTTTTTTCATACTATTTGCAAATTAGCATATCTCATTAAACCTTCAATTCACAACACAATTGTGATAACTTCAGCTCATGGTTTTACCCAAGATTACCTGCTGGGCTGTTTCTTCATTGTTTGTCTCTGCTGGGAGGAGAAATTTAGATTAGCATGGATGTAGCTGGAGTAAGCAGTTTGTTAGGTCTGTGAAGGGACATATTAGGAGAGTGTTGCTTATCGTTATGAGCAAGGAAGCGATGGGTAATTTTGAGTGTGCACAAACTACCTTTATACAGCACTCATGTATGAATAATTGAATCTTGTTCATGCATGTTATATAATCACAATCTAAAAGCAATCCTTTTTTTCATCCGTAAGGCAAAATGATTAACTTGTACAATATATCTTGAATCTTGGAGGTATTCAAAGGTTTTAGTCATTTCACTCTGAATGGCTCCATAATTCTGCTGTCCATGGTCCTGAAAAATCCAAATTAGCTAACAGGAAAAAAAAAAAATAT